CTGGATACTATTCTTCAACCCATCGTGCATCCATTTGCAGGCGCTGTTGGTCAAAACTTTCACCTAATGCATGATAATGCTCGTCCACATACCGCACGTATTGTAACCAATTGGTTGGACAACGAGGGAATTAAAGTTTTACCATGGCCAGCACAATCCCCGGACCTAAATCCGATTGAGCATGTGTGGGATATGCTTCAACGTAGAATTACTCCACATATGGACAACATTCACAATGCGTTTCGATTTAGGGAGCTTCTGACAGCAGAGTGGGCACGTTTGCCTCAAGGAGATATTGACAATCTTATTTTGTCTATGAACAATAGATGTACAGCAATAATAAACCAACGTGGAGGTCATACTTTGTACTAAACAGTTTTTTTTTACATACTCGGGAGTTTTTACAAAACTCTAAAAATAGTGCTTTACACAATATTTTTTTTTTATAAATCTTGGGGATATTTTTTAACAAAATATTTAATTTTATGTAATAATAAACACTTACTTATACTATACATTTATTGGTTTTTTTCTATATTAAGTTAGAAAAAAAACTTATTCTTATTTTAAGAAAAACTATCATATTATTTTAAATGCAAGCACTCTTAAATAAAATATACACCATGCTTAATTTAAGAATAAGATACAAATGTTATAATTCTTAGCGATACTTTTGGATTAAATATAAGGTATCTTTTAGTAAGTTAAGCAATAATTGTTTCAAATATTGTTTGTGTTTATTTCAAAAGGTAAAGAGTGGATTATGCTATCTCTTTTTTTCTAAGACTGATAGAGAAAAATAGATAGGATAATCCACCATTTACCTTTTAAAATAAACATGGCCATTATATCCCAACCTTTAAAGTCGAGCAAAAGTTAAAAAAAGAATAGACAATATTAGAAACAATTATTACTTAACTTAACCTAAAAAAATGATATTGGTCTATAGCATTGTCTTTATTACATAACTTTTTTACAATGTTTCAAATACCTATCTACCTATCTACCTTTATATATAATATATATTGCAATGATTTTTTCAAACCTTCAGACACGTTGATTTTGTTTGCGAGGCGGGCATTTTTTGGCTAATTATTACCTACACATACGTTTGGTGGTTAATTGTATCAAATTCTACTAATTTAGCAGCTCTTCCATAATTCCAAACCAAATATTAACTTACACAAGAAACAATCTTCCAAAATGTCGGACACTCATGAGTTAGGGATATTTTTAAGAATAAGCCAGTCGTACCAATATTTACTAATCTTAGAATAAATATAATTATATTTTATAGTTTTATATCTTTAAGAACAGAATAGAAGGAATTTTCCAAAATTAGGTCTAATCGATTGATAATCTTAAATTAATAATTAAATTATTTCATTTAAAGTATTTCTTAACATTTAACAGGCAAGAATAAGATCTGCTTGTTTAAAGAAAAATTAATATTTAGTTTAATGTTAGTTTTAGCCTTGACAATACAAGGCCAATCATCTCATTTCATGACTGCAGTTGTACTTAATTTTAAGCTAAGAAATAAAATCTTTTAAATTTAAGGATAGGTTAATATATAAAAGAAATCTAATGTATTCGTAGCCTAAGCAAACTTAAACTTATATAAAGTGATTTTTTTAAGAATAAAGGTATTCTTACAATTAGAAAAAAAAATTCGGTGTACCCAAAACGTTTAGTTAGTGCAATATGTAATGTTTTGTTTTTAAGGGTGGTTTTAATTACAATATTTAAAGGAAATACTAAAAATATTAAAAATAAAACAATTATTTAGGCAAAATAATTTAACTTGGGAGTAATAAAAAAAAATTTAACTAAGGAATATTACTAAAAATATTATGTGTGTATGAAATTAATTCATTTTTAATCTAACTTAAAAAGTAATGATAATATTTAAATAAAATCGTTTAATAATATTTCTAATCAACAGCCAATTAAAACAAAACTAACCGTCAAAATATTTTGCTCTTAAATTTTTAGTTATGACCTTATTAACAAGAATATAAAAAAAAATCACAGAAATTTAGAAAATCACCTATAAGAACAGCACCGGGTATAACATCTAAGCGTAATAATTAGGGTAAAAAATATTCAGGTTTTTTTACATTACGTCCCTGTAACAGCTACTGGATGCTCATACAGTTTCTGGGGATTATGGGATACCTAATAATAACAGAGGGCAGAGGCACACATCGGAGTTGATGGGCCGTGATTTAAATAGAAAAGACGTTTTTTGGGCCCGCTTTACACCCAGATTCGATCCCGATTAACGCACTACAGAGCGTATAGGTACAGAACAACTAAACGGATTAACGAGTTGTTTGAGAACAATACAAAAAAGTTGCTCAACTTTTTCTAAATATGTGAGATGACATTAATACTTTAAGAAGCATTATTTTGCTATCTATTGTATAAAAACTGCTTGTGGTAGTAAAATGCCACGTTAAAAATGAGACCAACAAAAATTTTTTTTGAACAGCAACTTTAGATACAACGATTCAGTCGTCAAAAATGACCACTTTTCAGCAAAATAATCAAAAAGGGGCCATTTTTACCGACTTTGAAGCGCTGTATCTTCGTTACTGTTCGTTTAATTTGTACAAAATTTTCAGGGTATACTAACAAAAATACGGCCTTTAAAAGCATATTTTTTATTTACTTAAAAAAAATTACCCTAAAAGTTATTTTTCGAACGATTTTTCATTTTTAAATAAAAGGGCATTAATGCCCTTTTATTTAATAATGAAAAATCGTTCGAAAAATAACTTTTAGGGTAATTAATTAATAATATTTTCTCGAAAAACCCTCGAACACGTAAACTGAGATATAAGTTGAAGTATTTTTATCCATTTCCATAAAGAATAATAAAGGCGTTTTAGACTTAGATTATTTTTACAGTGGTTCCAAAAGTTATGGCCAACACTGTAAGTAATTGGCCGATTTCAATATTCACTGTGATTTAATCCAATCGGATTTTAAATATTATTATAATAATATTTAAAATTGGAAGAAAGTTGGGTTAACCAACTGACAGATTTTATTTATTTTTAAAAATCATTTAATTATCTTCTAATTGAGTAAATAGTAGTATAGTAGTATAATAGTAGTATACTATAGTATTACACACAAGATTATGCGCATTATTCGCTCAGATCATTTTCGTCACTCGTCTAGCGACTCGAGACGCAAACCTCATCCTCGTGAATAATAGCGTGCATTATCTCTCGTAAAATAATGTACTATTTGAAATAGTCTATTTCTATAAAAATTTTCAGTTTTTCGAAAAAAACATAAATTTTGCAAAGTATGCCATTTCTTTAATTATTTAACTTCAATTTATTCTGCTTTGTTGCCGCAATGGTGTGCCAACTTTTGTTTTGAACTCAAAGATTTTCTTGACAAAAAAATAACAAATTTATTTTTTTAAATAATTTAAAAAAATGTTAATTAATCAGTTTTTGTTGCGTTTAAGAAAAGCACAAAATTTCGGGTGGGTAAATAAAATTATTATTATTATTAAATAAAATTATAAAAAACGTTTTTAGTGGGGTAGTAAATTTCAGTCAAATTGACCCATAGGTAGTTTTATAAAATATTTGGGATAGTATTTATTGTGCAGAAATTTTTTTTTCTTAAACTGCTACCTACATACATATGTATATTCAATGCTGTATTAAAAAATATAATAATTTTAAATTAATTTGAGATCCTCTGCCAGGGCAAAAGTTCTACGTGTCAGAGCGGCGCCCTGATTCGCCCCCCTAGCTATGGCTCTGTGGTAATCTAAAATATTGTCTAAATTAAATAACTAAAAAAAAAAAATAAACTCAAACAAAAATGTCGTCAAGTTAAAATGACTACAAGCTAAAATGCTATCGAGCTAAAAATTTTAGCCTAAAATAATGAAAAACTAAATGAATTGTCTTAAGACAAGAATAATTCCTAAAATAAGATATAATAAGTATCTAATAACGATTAGCTAAAACAAAGTAACAAAAAACAAAAATAAAGACTAACTAGAATTTGGTCGAGCTAAAATGACGATAACTACTAAAATAACAATGAGCTAAATAATAAATTAAAATGACGAGTAGCAAAAATTAATAAATTCTGATCATTTTATAGCTTTTTGAAACTGGGTGGCCAGCTTAGTGGCGCCTCTACAGTTTGCTTGGGGGACTCCCTGAATCAGGGAGCCCCCCTCAAGCAAACTGGGACCCTGAGATCAAGCGAGGGAAAAACGTTCTTTCTGATTTTTGATAGTACGGCCGGGCCGCACCTGCTTTACCTGACTAGCCGCCACTGTCCTAAAAGCTAAAATTAAAACAAACTAAAATGATGAGCTAAAACGAAGACAAGAATGCCAAGCTAAAATGAAGATCATCAAAAATGACGACAATCATAAAAACAAGACCTGCTTTACCTGACTAGCCGCCACTGTCCTAAAATCTAAAATTAAGACAAACTAAAAGGATGAGCTAAAACGAAGACAAGAATGCCAATCTAAAATGAAGATCATAAAAACAAGACCTAAATAACTAAAAGATCTAAAATGATCACAAGCTACAATAAGATTGCATATATTTATAATTGCATATAATTATTGCAGTGGTCAACAGAAAAAAATCAAGAAGGAACTTCATCTTAACAAATTACCAATTAGGTATGTAGAAATTTCGGTTAGGCAAAGTTGAAACAAAGAAAACAGAGAGCCGCCAGTAGCAGCAGGAACGAGAAGCAAATTCCACGGATAAGTTGTTTTCTGGCCTGCTAGGGGTGGAGAGAGACTGAGAAGAGAGAAGGAAGAGCGGAGTCGAGTTGGCCGTGGTATCGATCGGCTTCAACCATTTTGTCCGTACCATCGCACCCCGTGGGCCAATGGGAGCTCGCAGGCAATGGGCGTGTCGGCGCGAAATGGGCCGATCTTCTTTAGTCGAGATCTGCCGACAAGATCGGGCAAATTCACGCCAGTCGATCGCAGCTAGCGGCGGAGTCAGTCCGTTGTGTCCGTGTTCGTAAAACTTGCGCACAGTGCGTCCGTAGTGAGAAAACCTCGAAAGGGTTTTTGAAGGTTTTTTTGTTTGACTGCGTGGTGTTTACAAGTTTTTTGTTCGTATGGTGATGTCAGGCGAAGGCGGTCTGGCCATGCACCAGCTCCCGATGCATCATCGCGGCGGCCTGGTGCAGCCCAGTTTGGTCATGAACCCGCATCCTCTGGGAGACAACGGATGCTCTCTGGACCCCGCAAACAGTAAGTCGACATTTTTATTTAAACACCCTAAAGTCCTTGATTGGGACCTTTAGTCATTCTGTTGCTTCCGGGACCTCTTACCTACTTCATCAAAGTAAGGGTGGAACTAAAAGTCCACTTTTTGTACTTACATACAAAACTTTTTTAATATTGTACCATCACATGAACAACTCGGTAATCTGTTTGGTTGTTTTGTACACTATGGGGATTAAATCTGAGAAAAATCTGGCCTATAAACGTTTAGGGGTTTAACCCCCCCGAAACTAAATATATTAAAGTTTTTGTCAAGGATAACAGTTCCCAAAAATTTTTTTTTTAATTGGAAAATATCAAAGACTAAAAACTACGACTAGGGGATGGTTTTGAAGGCTCAGGAAACTGTTTCCGGTGATTTGCGACTAGTTGAGGACTATACTGGATCTGTTCTTCGTCCTTGGTCAATAAAAAATGATCAGTGTATTTTTGAATAATACTGATAGTCCGTCCAGCAGTATGATTAACAATTCTCATCTACAATTCTGAGGTGGTACTTTCAGGAATTAATAATAAAGACAATAAAGAAGAAGCTGGTTCTTTCAGCATATATAGTATATGTATAGCTATAATATTCAGTCTATTGTGAGATTTATTCTTCGTTAAATCAATGAGACGTGATGCTTAATATTGAAGCTCCACTTTTAATTAGAACTTCCTATAATTATAGGAAGCTTTAATTCCAAGTGAATCTTTATTCCAATATTTCATGTAAACCAAGCTGACAAATAGAGCTAAACATTCAAAAAAATTGTCTCTCTAGTTGTTAAAAAAAAACAAATTTCGGAAGAGGTATAACTTTTGGACATAAAAATGATTTTGACATTCATCAAGCATGATGAACAGAAGAGACAAGCTCAAAAATTTCTTATAATCGGCTCGTGGTTGCTGTTTTTCTAGTGAGTAATTCTTTTCCTAAAAAATTTAAATAAAGGATTCTGAAACAGCTGCGTAATAAGCAGTTTGATTAATAGTTGGGAAAAAACTTGAGAAAGCAGCCAAAAGTTTAGGCTGTTTAAGAAATTGTTTAAAGGTTGTGTGATGACCAGTATTACTTGTTGGATCAAGTATATATTAAAGGCACTATAGTGCCTTTAATCAACGATTTAACTCAACATTTCTTAGCCCCATCAACGCATGTGAGCCTGAGCCTTTCCTGTTCCTCAATCGTGTTTTGGAATACCCAAAAGTTCTTCATGACCATTCCCGGTGATAAATATAGCGATGCGGTCAACTTTTTTTTGAACCATTAATATGAGATACATACTTACCTTTTGGTACCTACGAATATACATTCAAATTTAAAAACGAGCTATGTGGATGCAAGATTCAGCAGTTTTTATTCTCCATGCATTATTTAGTTGTGTTGTTTTATCTTTATTTCCTTTGTCGTTTTGGCTTGTCTAAAACTCAGGATTTTTAATATGGTATCAAAAAATAACAATTTTTGCAAAGAAATTACCATCAATGTTATCTTACATACTCTCTAAAAGTGAAACAGTGAAATTTTCACTATTTCCGTCAGTGAGTTATTATTCACTGTAAAATTAGTGTTTTTCAATATAAATTAGTGAAATTTTAACTTCTCCAAATTGGAGTTTTTTATTATCACTACTTTTTCGGAACTCTCGACATAAAATAGTGAAATTTTAACTTTTTTGAACTAAACCTATTTCACTAATTTGTACAGTGTAATTTCCACTAAATAAATTAGTGCAAAGAAATCGCTACATGAAAAAGTGAGTATTCACTAATTGCCAGTGGTATACTTATCACCGCGGCAAATAGTTAATATGCACTGTCAATCAGTGAAAATCCACTGTTTCATTTTTAGAGAGTAGGCAGGCCCGCACAACCATTTTTTTTTTACTATTATTATTATCCCTTAATCACAGTGGCGTAGGCAAGGTTGTTCAACGCCTACGCGCCTGGCAAGAGTTTTTAATAGCTGTTTAATATTTCCAAGCTGCAAAAAATTTAGTTTCATTTACCGCCGGTAAAAGGATTAAAACTGATCAAAAAACATTTTACAATTTAATTAATTTATAAAATATCGTAAAATACAAAATGATATATAACCTACCGAAATACCTAAATAAATTATGTTTGAAAATTATATACAATTAGTTATTAATTTAATATATTATATAGGTACATGTGTACCTATGTAGGTATATCAACATTATTTAAATTAAACATTTACTTTTGCTTAGTTATTATAAATTTGTAATTTTCCATTAGGTTTACATAATAGTAGTTTTATGACACCAATAATTGGCATAAATGATTTTTCTTTATATTAAAAATAAATTTAATTTTTTTTTCCAAAAATTTTGGTGTGAAATCCCCAAGAACGTAAATAACACCTAAATAATATTGCAAATATTAACATTGTCATTCTTTGTGTTTAAATAAATATAACAGATACTCTTATCTATTTATAAATATTTGAATTATCAATATTTAGTCAATATTCATTATATTTGTGCATATCTGAAAATAATTTTAATCAAAGTACCTATAGTTGTCGCGGCAAATGTTTCAAATTGCGTCATCAAATTCTGAACCCAGCATAGACATTACAATTATTGTTGTTTTCTTTTACGTATATTATTATCCAAGGAACCGCTAGGTTAACCGTATGTCGAGAAATCGGTTTTTGACATTTGTATTTGTATACATCAATAATCAATAGACCTATAATGTGCGAGTTTTACAAAATTAGTTTTTAGTATAGGTATACCATACTAACAACTAATTTTGTATATAGGTTTATAGCAACTTGGTAAACAACAAACATTTTTTTGTTTAACATATAAAGGACAATCACAAATGATTTCACCAATTACGACAATTCTAGGGATTTTAACCATCAACCTGATTTTAAACAAATACCTATACGAGTATATACTATATAGTGTTGGTCTTAGCAAACTTGAACAAAATAAAACTGTACAATTAACAAATAAAAGTTTTCATCAAAACATTCTAATGGGTCATTTATTAACATGTAATTTAAATATTGCTTCAATAAAAACTATGCACCTTGATAATAAATTGACAATAAATCTGGTCGTTCGAACGGGTCTAGTAGGCGTCAGCAAAACAATTTTGGCACCAGCCTCCCCGGATGCCCGTGGTCATTTCGAAAATAAAACAACCGAACATCGAGGGTAGGCACCGGCTACCGACTGTCAAAACAAGTGACGATATACAGACGGAAATTGACCATGATTTATTGTTTATTTTTTTAAAGTATTTAATTTTCAAGAGGGGTTAGATGGTTTTTACTCGTGCTTCAAACCTGTCATTTTCAAAAGTATTTTATAAATAATAATTATTTTTATAAAACCAACACCAAATAACTTAAAAAACGAAGCATATTCTTAATTATAATAATTATTAGTTTAAATCAATGGTGCCAAACAATACACGAATCAGATAGGTATTTCTTCGTTGGGTTATAGCCTATATGTAACTTACATAATGTAAGTACCTATAGCTTATAGGTACTTTGTATTTGTTTCTCATCAAGTGGTCCAAAGTCGTTCTTTTACGTCAGTTTAAAATATTGGACTAATTTCTCTGTCTTTTTAAATATCAAATGGTTTAAGTTAATTACATTTTATCAAAAATAGTGTCATGCACGTGCATAAAAAAAGATATAAAGACATATTCTTTTACCAATTATGCATAATTGGTTAGGTAGATATGACTATCGTTAATTGTGTAATATTTAGATATTCAACCTTATCAAATTTTCATGTAAACAACTAATTGGCATTTCTATGTTTTAAACACTGCAGATAATACCTAATATAGAAGCACAATATTTCACAATAAATAGTTAGTTAGGTACTTGTATTAGCGCTGTTCCAAAAAGAATTTTTTTTTTGCAAAAATGTAATTTATATTCTTACATTTATTGCATAATATTGACAATATTAAAGGTTTTTCGTATATAATGTTTACCTTTATAACCTCCCCGCCTAGCAACAGAAATAATGAATTCATTATTCACGTTGTTATAACAACGGGGCGGTTATAAAGTTTACCATTATATACGTTTATGGGCATCAGTGATTGGCCGATTTCAATATTTACTTTGATTTGAACCAATATGGTCTTAAATTGAAAAAAAAAGTGAGGTTGGAACTGTCTAACAGATGTCAAACAAAAACTCAGTGGGATGGTTTAAATCTCTTGTCAGGCGGATCTAGATGCAAACCTTATCCTCGTAAATAATATGCTACATCATATAATAATAGGCTTCATCGTATAATAATACCTACTACTACTACTTATTGCAACTACGATTGTAATAAGATACAGTTTTTATTTAAATATTTTAAAATTAATGCAAATATCAAAAATAATTTAATAAAAACCGCGGTGCGTGTTTATGTACGCGCGTTAGAAGTTGTACTTTTTTAACTAAAATAAAATATTTCTCATGCAAATAATTTTCGTAAATAAAAGAAATTAAATACAATTAATAAAGTTTAGATGAAAAAACATGTTTATGCATTATATATTATATTATTTTATAACATGATATTAAAAATTGAGGACATTTTGTAAATTCTATTTTTTTTTTTAAATTTTTTAAATTGTAGTTACTGTGGGAATATATCCTACCATTTTTTTTTAATAAATACCACTGTACAAAAAAGCGACTACTATTTATTGTTGAAAATTATTTAATTTTTATTTTTTTCGTAGAAAAATTATAGTATGCTAGTTTATAAAATTTTCTAGAAACTATTATCTACTCCTACATTGACGAGCTGTGATTTTATGGCATTTTAGTCACGGGCTAAAGTTAGCAATAGTGGCTTTTGGGCATTTTAGTCACGGATTGAAGTTAGCTTTATTATAAATTAGAAAAAAGTGAGGTTAAATCCGTTAAAAGTTGACAGATGTTAAATTTTTAACAAATAAAATTGGTGTTAAATTATTCTTTGCAT